CCCCTTCATAAGGAGGCGGATTTTGGATCTGCCTTGGATGACTTTTGTACCCAGGGCCTCCTCGGGTTTTGATTCTGAGTTCTACCACTGGATGCTGGTTTTCATGAAAGGGAAAACCTTCCAATAATTTTTTGCATGGCAGTTCTGCCAACCAACTCTTCAGCCACAAAACCATGTGCATATGCACTGATAAGAGGGCCAAGTGAGAAATCTGCTGAACTGAATCCTTAAGAGCATCGACCACAAAACATAAAGCACATGGAACATCCACCAAATCCTCAGCAGAGTATTCCTCCTGCACCGACAGTCTTCCAAATAGTTGTTTGAAACAGTCAAAAAGACTCTGGCAAATGCCAATATCTGCCACTGCTGGCTGTGCGGCAGAACCTGCCAGGGAGAAGGAGGCCTTAAGGAGAGACTCCAGCTTCTTATCCATTGGTTAAAAACCTGGACATTATTAACAGGACATGTTAAAGATTTATCCAGGATGAAACAGCTGCATCCACTACAGGCATACCCCATTGTGACGACAGTCACTTTGGGTGGGGGGCCAATAGAACCCAGCTCACTTTGGAGAGGTGGGGAGACTCCTGTCTCAGCTCCCCATATCCCTCTTATGTGTAAATCACCCTGTGCCTGTTAGGGGTACAGGGTGATCTGTCCTAATATTGTGTGGGGGTTGTTGATTGTTTAATGTCATGTGGTTGCATCCCATTGTTCTATTGTGTGTCTGGCTTGGGAGCAAATTATTATTGGATGTATGTGTTTATGTGTATTAGCTTAGTAGGGGAGTGTCTCCAGCAGCACTCCCTCCTGATGGGACTGTCTGCTGGTGTGAAGTTTGAATACCTGTGTGTCTTGTCACTTGTCACTAAAGAGGGGGATGTAGATTGCCCTACCTCCTGGTTTACCCTGTGTCATTTGTACGCAGACGGGGAGGGGGGATTGCCCCGAGTGTATATATTCTCTTTGTGATCTGTGTTCAATACATAATTTGCTCCACCAATCTACTCCTGGTTTACTTCAAGACTGGTGTCGTCTAGTCTATGTATGGTCAAGCCACCTGTGGTGTCTGTTGTTGGTGTTAGTTTCCACCCATTCCATACAAAGAACCCCACAGAAGACACAAAACCCATTACTTAACCAAACCTCACTGCTCCAGGATCGATGGTTCTAGTCACGGGGATCTTTCCCACTTCTTAGTCTCCTGAGAATTCGATGCAATCATCCCAGCAATCTTATCCTCTAACCCCGCTAAGGCTGAAGATCATTCTTGGTTACATATGCCGAGGCAGATGCCCCAGTAGTAGCCGCAATGCCAGATAAACACAGTGGCTCAGACTGCTCAGTCGCTTCTGGCCTTTCAGGAGAAGATGTTACAGCAGACATTTGGCTAGGTTTCTCAGGACCTGGTGGTGGCACATTAGTGCCCTTTCCTGCTGTACCTCCCCCACTCTGCTTTCTGGAAGACATTACTTCAGATAGCATAAAAACCTGTGCACCTCCAGTGCCACAAGATACAGTTATGCAAGTAGTGTGCTGAATAAAAACACTCAATGCAAACTGATGTCCTTATGAGCCACCAAGGGCAGCTCCTAACTGACTGGCCAACGTTTCTCCCTCAGGGGAGTACTCACGTGCCCCACTGAATAGTCTGCTCTGTGTCCTGGCAACAGGAATCCCTGTTGCCAGGACAGCAGAAGCCCATGTGTGCCCAGGCCTCCTGATAAATAAATATGGCCAACTTCTGTTTCCTGCCGCATGCGATCCTCGTATGAGTGCACAACAGCTAAATGCGTACAACACCCCACCATGCACGCCCCCCTCGGCTGATGGCCAGCCACACTCCTAGGGACCAGAATGCTCCCTCTAGTGGCTGCAAACAGAACAACAGGCAAGTATGTCCCAGGAAAAAAATGCCGTGAACACTCCCCCCTCCGTTGAAAACCCTGGCCAAACAACAATGCCTCTCCTTTTCCCTTCAAATTTGAGCTTTGTTATTTCTTTTTTTTCCTCTGTCAAAAAAAAAAAAAAAAAAAAAAAACATCTCATCAGTCCCGCTGCAGGTCTCTGACTTCCACCAGGCACCAACCTTCAACCATCACGGCGGCATTGTCATACAGACCTTCAAGGACCCGGCCCCCATAATGTGGGGCCACTGCCTCGGACCCGTATAGCATCCCACTGGAAAGCACCTTGGTCATATTTAAAACTGCACAGGGTTCCACCTACGTGGGTCCAGCGCCGTAAGGCTGCATTACAGGCAAAACCCCGAGGATTCTTCTCCTTATCCAGCAAGGCTTTGGACCATCCATTTTGGCTCACAGCTTTATGAATGGATCCGATTAAAGTCCATGATTCTTGAAGAAACCGAACTAGACCTTATGTATGCTCCAGAAGCACAAGTAACACTTTCAGTGACCATCCACCTTACAGACACTGGTGAAAAAACTTAAGTGCTTCCTGTGTAGGAGGGGTTATATAGGGGAGGACATCCTCTCGGATTGGCTGGCCAGTGCCTATTCACCTATAGGTGGCATATAACCCAGACAGTCATGAATAGCCTGCTCTGTGTCCCGTGATGTACAATAAAAAAAAAACTGTTGTTACTCTCCTTGATAATGGACTTTGCAAAAAATGTAAATGAATGTGACTTTCTATGAAGGCAAATGGGTTTGGTGATCAGATGTTACCTAGTGAGAATCTTCTGGATTCTTGCAAGTTCCATTGTCCTGTACATGACAGGACACTTCAGTATATTCAAAGTGCACAGGACACATGGTTTCAGGACTTATTTAAAGAAAATGTGTAGTTTTTCAAAGTTTTCTTGAAAACCCCACATGCATGCATTGATTATTTAGGGATGTCCCCACATGCTTATTCCCGTTTAGCATCAGCTATAGGTTTTTTTTTTTGTTTTTTTTTTAATCAGCCTAATGCAGAACTAGTTCCAAAAAAATCAGAACAGAATTAAACTGACATGAATATGAGAACAATGATGAATAAAACTAATTGCAGAAGCCATGCATAATGTCTGAGTATAAAAAATCTTTTCCTAATACACTAACTACCCTGGGCAGTTTTAGCATACCACATTTTTTGTATGAATTGCATCAAATATCCTCCCAGGCTACACAGAAAGAAAAAAAATATATTTGTCAACATACTGCTATATACTTATAATATTAATATATTTCATTCAGTAAACATCCCATATATTAACCAGTATGCATCTGCACCATAAAAGCAAATAAGTTTTCACAACTCTTTTTTTTTTTTTTTGCATTTTTTTGGGCTTACCCTTTATAAATGCTCTATACAATGACAGCTATTATATACTGGGCTGAACACACTTTATTCATATTCTGGACCAACAGACTACAAGTTGCTAAATGTTGTATCACCTCTCATCTAAAAAGTAGCCCCGAAAAATAAAAAAAAAAACAGGATAGTAGACCTTTAGTTATATGTTGGTTCACAACCAGTACAGTACCAGATCCATAGATCCATGCAGAGTGTTAGTGGTGCCTGGGGAGTGACAGGTGACCCATGCAGCTGCACACAGCTAGTCTGTAAAAATCAATGACAGGATGAAAGATGCAGCGACTTTACTGGTCTTCCCATACATTCTAGCACGTAGCGATGTAAGCATTAGGATGTGTGGAAAGATGCATACAGAAGATGCGTCTCTCAGCCTGTCATTGCTATGAATATTTACAAGCCGGAGCACTCGACCGCACAGAACACTTGTCACTACCCAGACTTTCTGCACAGATGAACAGGTCTGTAAGCCCTAGTGAATGAACCATAACACTAAACCTCAACCCAATTTATGTTCCCAAATGTATCCTGTAACCTCAATCTAACTCCAAATCCTAACCCTTAATTCTCAACCAGGGACAACTGATGGGGCCCCCTCAGGCAATAGGGGATCATGGGGCCCCTGTGTCCTTGCCCAAACTCAAAAAAGCCTATGAAAAAGGTACCAGGGGCATCTCATGAGCCCCCTACTGACCCCGGGCCTTCGGGCAGTGCCCGAGTTTCCAAATAGTCAGTCCGCCCCTGTTCTCAACCTAATTCCAAACACCAATCCATAACTCCAAACTCATATTACTTAACATTTTACCTCAACCTACCCGCTAAACCTGACCTCTGTACTTAGCCCTAAACCTGAATGTCTGCCATATTCTTATCCGCTGCAATAATGTCACCACAGCAATGTTACAAGGCCAGTACCAGCACTGATAACATAATTGTTCAAGAATGTAGGTACCAAAATTTCTCTACCAAATACAACTGACACTGTTTCTATCAACTCCGATGAGGACATAACATGGAAATGGGAAAATTTGTAGCAGATCACATTTCTCTAGAGATTAAGGGCCCTTCACACTGATCAGTTTTTGATGTGCTTTTGGTGTTTAAAAAATGGAACAATAACACATGAAAAATGTATCCCTTTAAATCCTATGCAACTTATCGCACAAATGCGGTGCATTTTTCAAAAGTCTTGCATGATGCATTTTTGGTGCATATTTAAAAAGCGCACCAAAAAAAAGCACCTCCCCATTGCAATGAAAATGCATCAACAACAAACCACAGATGCGTTTTTTTGTGCGCTTTTTGAGTCATATGTACGATTGAAGTCAGGCAACCAGAAACCGCACCAAAAACGAATATGCGTTTTTTCAATGGAGCGGTGTGCAAGGGTCCTAAAGAGGCCCTATCACCAACTGAAAAAACTTCAAGTAAAAACACAGTGAAATCAAGCAATTTAAATGCTTATTTTAATAATTTTTTCCCAAATCGATTTTTTTACTTGCAATGTCTCTCTGAACTTGCTAGAAACTGCTAAAGAATTATCAAACATAGCCTAGCAGATGCTTTTCGGTAGGTTTATTAGGGCTATGCATACCACATTGCTTTATGTTAACCCTCACGCACCACTGAACCGCTTTCTGTAAAACTGACATTGTAAAAGTCATGAAATACTAATGAAGTTAGTGGGAAAGGTGCATACTCACCCGAGCAGCCGAGGCAATGGAGTCAGAACCGTGAGCTGCATTCTTGGTTCCATCAGTACCAAATTTGGCTCGAATGCTTTCTGGAGAGTCACTACGTGCAACACTGGAGTTGGTTGGCCCAAGCAGCTTTCTCCAAGAAGCTACAGCTTCATCTCCTATCACTTCCATTGCGACAATTGGTCCACTTGTCATAAAATTAATCAGGTCACTGAAAATTCAAAATAATTGTATGTTTATTATACAACATAACAAGGAAAAAGATTAAATCTGTTACAAACATAGACCACTCAAAGCAAGCATATTCAATCATGTGCAAACAAAAATATATATATATATTTATTTATTTTTAGATTTGGACTTGATTGGGTATTCTTTGCAAAGTGAAGCTTTACCACATTTACCAAGCACTGGGAAAAAATGAATGAAACTGCACTTGCAAAGTGTACAGTCTATCTGCCTTTAGTAAATCCACCCCTATATGTCAAATTAATCAGTAGTCCAGAGATATAGACAGATGAAGATTTATGCAAACCTTGACTCTTCCTGTACAAGTCAAGCTCACCCCTTCTCCCCCCAAAAACCTCACTATTCATACTCAAATGGAATGTTAGTCCTCACCAAACAATGTTGACTTGTGTTGGCATGAAAAAATTGGATTTTTTCTACATACTTACCTGTAAAATCCATTTCTTGGAGTACATCACGGGACACAGAGCAGGCCATAATAATGACTATGTGGGTTACAGTATATACTGTAGAAGAAGCGGGGGATGGTGCTGCGCTAACAAGCACAGGGGAATCTAAATGAACTAAAGATGGTGAATGACCACAAAAACCATATCGCATGTATAAAACTATATAAACACCATAATGCAACTAGTGCATTTAACAGAAGTGAAATAGACACAAATATGCATGTAATGGACTCCAAATATGTGCTAGGAAACTAAAAGGAAAAACAAGTAATGTAAGAGTCAATGGATGAAATATAATACTGGACAATAGAACAAATAACAGGAGAGCCCAAAAGGTGATGTCTAATGGTGGGAAAATTAAAGTGGATGACATAAAAGTCAGAACAAATCAATAATAGGTAAGCAAAGACACAAAAATACACAGCATGAAATAGTGCCACAAAAACGTGGAAAATCGTGGATATCAAAAGTGTACTGCCTAAAGAAAAAAACGTCCTCAACTCTATAAGTGCACTGTAAAAGTGAGGCCAGCAAGAAAGTATAGTGAATAATACAAATACATTGTACGGATAATCAATTTATATAAAAGCAGGGTGAATATATCCCAATAGTGAGCTGAACGTGGCATAGCGCACATATTTCACAATAAATGGTGGAAAAAAATATTGCATATAAGATAAACACAAAAAAAAACATGTAATGGAATGGCATATGTATTGCCATGGGTAGTGAATAAATCAAAAGGATAATGCGATTGTCCACAATACATAAATACATGGGAAGTCCAATAATTAAACTCCCAAGTGAACTTGATCGGTGGTAGTGAAAGTGATCAGTATGACAAGCAATCCATCACCGGCTAAATTGCCCATCCTCACCTCCACGTTGCGCCCCCAAGGGGCCAACGCACTTTCAGGGCGCTCAACACCAAACAGATCAGCAAAGGCGTCTTTGCACTCTAATCCTGGAGCATCAACCGTCAGCAATAGTGGGGGTATCCACCTCACGGAAAAACATGCTAGTGGTAGCGTGGGAGGTTTTTTCCTATTTATGTGGGCTATATGCCACCTATAGGTGAATGGACAGTGGCCGATGAATCAAACAGGAAGTCCTCCACCATATAACCCCTCCTACACAGGAAGTACTATGTTTTTTTTTGTAGCAAGCAATCAAAATCCAGAAAGAGGGGAGGAACCTCTGTGCCCCATGATGTACTCCAAGAAATGGATTTTACAGGTGTAGAAAAAAATCCAATTTTCTTCATCATACATCAGGGGACAGAGAGCAGAACAGGCCATAATAATGACTATGTGGGAGGTCCCAAAGCAATAACCTTGAGGGGTGAGTGACATCACAATAACCATCCCAAAAGGAGCTATTCAGCTGTTTGTAAAACACTGCGGCCAAAGGCAGACTCCTCTGTGGCTCTGATATCCACTTGGTAAAACCTTACAAACGTGAGCTACTAACGCCTGATGGCGGATAGCCCAAGCTGCTCCCACACTCCTGGTAGAATGTGCTTTCACCCAAAAGGGTGGAACCTTGCTCTTCAATATGCTTGAAAGATTAACTGATGAATCCATTTAGAAATAGTTGATTTTAATGCCGCCCATCCTCTCCTGGGTCCTTCTGGCAAAATAAACAAGGAATCAGCTTTTCTAATCTGCACCGTCCTTCTCAAAAAGACCCTTATTGCCTGAACCACATCCAGGGCATGCAAAGATCTTTCTTTTGCCGACTGAGGCCTAGGAAAGAATGAAGGCAAAACAATATTCTGATTGAGATGAAAACTAGAAACCACCTTTGGCAAAAATAACGGATGAGGCAGTAACACCATCTTATCCTAATGTAAAACCAAAAATGGTTCCCTACCAGAAAGAGCTGCCATTTCTGATGCCCTTCTTGCAGAGGTGATTACCACCATAAATGGAGCCTTTTGAGTAAGCAAAACTAATGGAATATCCCTGAAAAGGTTCAAATGGTGGTTTCTGTAAAACTGCCAAGACCAAGTTCAAGTCCCAAGGACACAGGGGCTGTCTGGCAGGAGGAACAGTATGCATCACTCCCAGTAAATAAGTACGAACCAAAGAGTGAGAAGCAATCGGTCTTTGGAAGAAAAAGCCAAGGCTGAAATCTGGCCCTTAATATTCTACTCTTGATTAGAGAAAAGACAAAATTCTCCCAATCAAATATTTCCAGGGGTGCCAGTTTCGACCCTCACACCAAGTTCTATAATAAACGTTCCTAGAAACCAGCTTCCTAGCATTCAACATTGTGTGGATAACAGAGTCTAACTCTCCCCTATCTTTCAAGATTTGGGTCTCAACATCCATGCTGTCAAATTCAGCGACCACAAAGCTGGGTGCAATAAAGGGCCCTGAGACAGCAGGTCTGACCGATCTGGCAGAGGCCATGGATCGCCCACTGCTAGCCTGACCTCCTGCTAACCTTCGGGGCTAGGCTTGTGCCACTAATATCACCGGAAGCACCTCATCTCGAATCCTGCGTAATAACCATTACACCTGGACACGAACAGATCTACGTCTGGGTACCACCAACGCTTGCAGATTGCCGAGAACACCTCAGGATGCTGAGCCCATTATCTCAGAAACAACCGCTGACGACTGAGGTAGTCTACCTGCCAATTCTCTATCCCTAGAATGAATACTTCTGACAGAACTGGAACATGCCCCTCTGCCCAAGCCAGAATGTGATCCATGTCCTCCTGAGCCCTCCGGCTCTTGCTACCGCCTTGGTGGTTGATGTATGCAACTGCTGTAACATTGTCAGACTGGACCCTGATGGCCAACAATGAAGCCTAGTCATCCAATATCTCAGGGCAAGCAGCACCGCCCAAAGCTCCAGGAAATTGATGGGAATGATCTTTTCCTGTGGCGATCACATCCCCTGGACTGTGGTCCTTCTAGAACAGCCCCCCAACACGAGAGGCTGGCATCAGTTGTAACCACCTTCCAAATCACTGCTGGGAAAGATCTTCCCTTTTCCAAATTCCGAGCTTCCAATCACCAATTCAAGCTTTGCAGCACCCGGGGGACAAAGACATGCAGTAATCCAGTGCTGGAATCTTTTTGTTCCATGCTGACAGAATATTCCTCTGCAAATACCTTGAGTGGAACTACACATAGGGCACTGCTTTGAATGAGGAAACCATCTTCCCCGTTAACCTCATACAGAGACAAATGGAAGGATATTTCCTGCTCCTCAAATGCTGATCCTGAACTCTCAGGGAGCAGCCCTTTCCTGGAGGCAGAACCACCTTTGCCTGAAGTGTCTAGAACCAATCCCAAATACTCCAAACTCTGTACTGGCTCTAGGGTCAACTTCTCAAACTTAAGCACCCAGTCTAAGCATTTCAGAGTATGAATCGTAAGAGCCACATTTTTTCTCAGGCTTGGACCAGACTGACCCCTAAGAAGTAGATTGTTCAGATAGCCCAAAATCGATATTCCCCAAGTTCTCAGCAGCCACAGAATTGGAGCCGGAATCTTTGTAAACACTCGAAGAGCTGTGGCTAGCCCAAAAGGTAGTACCACAAACTGAAAATGTTGAGTTTCTATTGCAAACCGCAGAAACCTTTGATGAGATGGAAATATTGGCACATGCAGGTATGCGGTCTTGATGTCTATGGACAGTAGAAAGTCTCCTTCTTGTAAAGATGCGACTACTGACTGGACTGACTCCATCCAAAATTAATGAATCTTTAGGAACCGGTTCAGCCCCTTTAAGTCTAGAATATGCCTTACATCCTCATTCAGCTTTTGAACTGTGAATAGGTTTGAATAAAATTCCTGCATCTGTTGGTCCACTGGAACCTCTACAATCACGTCCTGGTACAACAGCAGGTCGAGTGCCTGAAACAAAGGTTTTCTTCTCAATGGATTTGTGGATACATTGGACCTTATGAAACAGGGAGGAGGAATTTCCCAAAAACTCTAGTTTATACCTCTGAGCAACTGTAGAAGTGACCCACTTGTCCTGGATCAGGTCTTCACAGATCTCCAAAAAAAAAACCCCAAAAGTCTTCCCCACACCTGCATGAGTGGGGGCGCCCCTTCATAATGAAGCAAGCTTAGAATCTGACCTGGCGGGCTTCTGCACCCAGGGTTTCTTCTGGCCCTAAAATTTTCCCCTAGATGCAGAGCCTTGTGTACGGTGAAATGCTTGCATAACAGAAGAAGCACCAACCACCGAAGTGATTGACCCCTTAAAGGTCGGGCATTTGGACTTTCTCTTACAGGGTAAACATACTTTTTTTGGATATACTTGTCTAGGTCCTCCCCAAACAAACATTCTCCATAAAAGGCAAAACCCGCCAACAATATTTTGCATGGTAGTTCCACTGCCCAACTCTTCAACCACCCTGCGCATGTGTACCGACAGAAGGGCCAATGCGAGAGATCTGCTGAATAGAATCCTTAACGGCATTAACTGCAAAACACACAGGCTTGTGGTAAATCTGTCAAATCCACAGCCATA